GGCGGTATAAAACAAAAGAAAATACTGCTACTACAAAAGCGCACTGAGCGACAAATACTAACCCTTCCGAAGAGTCATTGTCCGTGACCCCTCCATGGGGCTGAAGAGACCATTGCATGTAGCATCCCCTGACTGAGCCACTCGGTAGTCTACATCGTCATCCTTCGTCTCCAGGGTGTGATACAGACCCTCCCCATTTAATTCTCCAGTCCCAGAAACTCCGGGAAGAGTTGACTTCTCATACACGAAGCATCTGTAGCGGTCCTCATTTGAAGTGGCGTGGTTATGGTGGATTTTGCCCACAAGATAGCGGGACGAGCCCTCCTTCCACGTGGCCAGGCACTGCAGTTCCTCCACTGTGCAAGAACAAAGAAGCTAATAACACAAGTAGGGCTGCAGAACTGTTCTGACTCAGTATGACCTGTTTCTGCGCACACAGCACAACATTACAGATCTCCCTATCTGAGAGTCGTAAATAATCACAAAAATTTCCTGCACTATCATATACGTAATTTTAACATATAAAACAGCATTTCCTATGAATCTATTCATGTATATTCGTGTTGCATATGGCAGTTCATATCCTTAGTTCAGCATCCGTCAGTGTCTGCTATTCTAAGTCACGTCTATAATTCAATAAGTACGGCACTAGCTGCCCCCACGTCTGTTTGTCATACAGTAGGAGCTCACATCACACAGCTGCCCCCGAGGTCACTGCTATTGGCCGTGGGAACGTCTTCAGAGACGGTCGTTGTATATTAACTGCAAGGATGTCACAGACACGAAATGAATTGAAATGACTCAGGATAAGGTTCAGTGGCGAGCCGTTTGATGATGGCAATGAGCATTTCCTTCAGAACAGCTTAGTCAGTAAACTGACCGGCAAGAACTGCAGGACTTGGGCTCGATTTCCTGAAAGGCAGGGATTTTCTGTTCATTAAGAGAGTCCATATGGAACAAAGGACCCACCCAGCCAACGTATATATGCGTAAAGCGCATGGAGTGTGAAGGTTATTCTCGCATTTTCTAGTACCGAGGTAGCGGAATTACAGTTCTTCATTTCTAGGTAAGCAGGGACAGCTTCCCTCTAGCGCCCTTACCGATAGATTTCTTTGTTAGTAAAGTCAAGTTCAGTCAACTGGTTTTTTCTTCAGTTAAGTGGTATCTGTTGACTTGAAACATAATTATGCGCGTTAATGAAATTCAAAACCTACTGACACCTGAAGGACCATGAAGGATGTCCAGCGACACTGTTGCACCGACAGAGGAGTCTGCGGGATTTCTTGTGGCCACGATCATGTTTCAGTGGGACACTTGGATCTTATGAAATGGCGTCCAACAATCGTTTTACATTGACACATGTTGCGTGACTGGAAGGGTCAAACAAAATGTCATGGCATAATGAGTCTGATAACAATAACAATAACAGCAAACGAAAGTGAATTTGATAATAACAAACACAGGTGGGAGATGAAGCTAATGTAGATCATTTCAGGCACATTCAGAAGACGTTCCTGGCAAACACTACAATGTGGCAATGTGGAGTTGCAGACAACGGCCATTCAGGAACAGCACATCTCGGGGAAGGTATTAACGCAGAAATTAATTTAATTTCAAATTTACTTCCCATCAAGCTATTATGTAACGAGGCTTTGGAGCAACGTTCGACCCTGGCTCATGTGAATGAGTGGGGAAAAATATTAAAATGTGTGAAAATTGGAAGAAGTTGTTACTAAGTCACGTGTAATATCGGCAACGGGACACTCGCCGTCTTCCAGAGCTGGCACTGGAGGCAGCTCAGAAGCACCAGAAATAAAGCCGTCAGCACAGGTAGGATACCACTTTACATACAAGACTTAAGAATGAGCGCCATTATTCCTTATGTTACTGTACTTTACAACAGTGCAGGGACAGCTCAGTCGGTATAGCGATGGGCTACCGGCCGGATGGCTGGGGTTCGATTCCTGTCAGGAGCATAACTTGTATTTACTCCACAGTGTCCAGACCGGCTCCGGGGCCCACCCATCCTCGTATCCAATGGGTACTGGGAACCCTTACCCCGGGGGAAACGCTTCCGGGGCGTGAAGCTCACCAGCCACCTTCACCTAGACCCGAGGTCTTCCCTATATATATTCATGGCGTGGTGTTTAATTAAGCATATGGATAATTTTACCTTTGTCGTGTCAACTACAATTGTTGCTTAGGCTAAAGAGAAATGTGAAGCCGTTCATGGCACAAAAGCATCTGGGTGACCTTGTTGAAGCCACGAGTGCTATGTCAGCAATATGAGGAAAAGCATGAACACTTAACAAGTGCCCAAGCCTTCCCTTATTCGGCAGACTAAATATATTTACGATTCCGAAAAATTACACGTCAACTACACGTGTTAGATGGGTCCCTGATTAAAATACAAATACTGATTTTTATTTGTGATTTAAGTGGCATTCGAATATCTATTTTTTTCCTGTACTGCGATTTGTTCTTATCATTAAGTAAAACTTCCATAAAATCAATACATAGTCCGTCGAGTGTAACAATGTTTTTTAGGTCACTTCTTTCTCACTCTTGCCTTACATGTTTCAACCGCACACGCGTATCTAGATGGAGTACACTGACCTGGATCGGAGACTATCTAGAAGTGCGCTGTAGATCTGGTAGTCTAGTTGGCGGCTACGTCCTTCTTGATAACGCCTCCGCGAATGGAATATCTCAGGGTTTATTGGGCTAGTTGATAAGAGGTGTTATCATTGAATGTTTTAAAGCTTTCGGGTAGAGTCATGGATTCTTTCCTCAGGGACGTTTAGGGCCTCGCTTCAAAGGGGTTGGAAGGAGATGTCCTGGATTCGACTCTCCGTGTTAGCGGAGTCAGGTACAGTAACGCACTGTTTACTGGGTTTAAGTTTTGCACAACTTAATTTATTACACTTAAA